CTCCCATAATAAAAAAAAAAGGAGGAAAACTTTATGGTTAATAGCATCTCTAGTCCTTCAATTATGGTCCTTGTGAAATCTAGCTAAGAACTGAAAATACCGCTAAATTTGACACGAATTATTAGTTTTATCTCCGATTTGTTGACAGCCAAAAAAAATCTCTTTATTTGACTAATTGAGCTTAAATACATCATTGATCTTACAACATGAGTGCAATACATCCCTAAATTATTGTCAGAGTTTTTCCAACACTTCTCTCAGCTTTTTACCAAGAGTATCATATTTCTACAAGAGTTTGCGATCACTTGCTATGTCATGTGGTAGATCAATTTAAATTTAGTACGTTAAAAAGAGGAGTGACTTTAATATAATTAATAATTTAAGGATGAAACTAATAATTTACATCAAAATTCAATAATTATATGTATACTACAACATATTTGAAGGTACTATATTACTAAAAAGTAGTATAAACATAACATATTTCAACACAAATATATTTAAAAATATACATATATTTTAATCAATTAAAAATTAAACAGATCAAAATGAACATTAATGAATAATGGAGGGACTAAAAGTGCTATTATCAGTTACTAGAATTTAAGGATGATACAGAAAAGACCTTCCCTAGATAGACTTGTACCCGAAAGCATAGGGAAACGTACGTACGACCACATACGAAATGGGCCCCACTAATGGTAATGTGGGCCCCTCACCCAGGTTGCTGATATTTAAGATGACGTGGCTATTCTGAGTGACTCTTCACACTACTCATCTGGTAGTAAGAGAAGCTGCTGTGAATGAATCCTTCTTAGCTAAGGAAAGTTTGTTGGACACCCATCCATTGTCCAGTTCCGGCTAGCGTTTGATATTCATATTAAAATCTGAATTATATGACTCGTTTACTCTTTATTTGAGTAATATTCTTTTATATTAAGATTTTGGAGTTGAAAATGTTTAATTAAGAAAAAGGTAATTTAATTTGTTGCACCATATTTTTTTGATAATTTGAGGATGGTATGGTGTAATGTCTCATCTACCTTTGCCATATCTACCTTTTTGTTTCTAACTTTAATAAAGTTAGGTGTAACCTGGAAGGTTTAACTGGGGAAATGAGGGAAGTGATTTTGTTTTTGTTTTTTTCAATAAAAGAGAAAAGAAGAATGGATAAAAAGAGACAAATGTTGAAAAAGATGTTTTTTTATTTTATTTGTAGGTTAATAGAGTAAGAAGAGAGCTTGTAAAGGAGATAAACATAAGATTATTAATGGAAAATGGATTGATAGAATCAAGGGCAAGTATTTGTATATATTTTGATTTATTATGTTATTTTGTGAAGAAAGTATAATAGCAATGCATAATAAATCTAAATCATTATGATAATTATAAAAGGATGAAGTTATGGATTCTCCATCATCATCATTATTATTGTGAGTTCTGACTACTACTAATCTAGATAAGAATGAAAACATTTCATTAGTAAAGCTTAATACACGGTATATATAATAGGGTGATCTTAATCATTGTTAACTATAGAAAATTATACACTTTAAGAAGCAAATTATAAAGTGGATTGAGACGGTTATTTGTTATGACATACCTTAATGATTTAATAGTTAAAATCAAAAATTCAAAATACTTCAATCAATTTATCCAAAATAAATCATAAAAAGACCACTCCTATTGAATGAGTCATCTAATTACACATATGTTATATTAAAATTGTATTATTACTACATATTTGAAGATACTATACTACATAAAAAGAACAAAAATTCCTAATTAAAAAATTAAATATATTAAATCATATATAAATAGGACCAGAATCAGCATTAATTACTAAAGGAGGGACGTAAAGTGCTATTATCATAATTAATGAAGTGGGCGTACGTACGACCACATACGAAATGGGCCCCACTAATTACGGGCTGGATCTTAGTACTATTTGGGTCCCACATTTGCTGATTTTATGATCAGAGATGACGTGGCTAACACTGACATTATTTGTCAATTAACACGTAATCCTGTTCTCCTTATTTTTTCTTTATTTCTCACTCGGCATATTCGTATTAGAACTCGATTATTTCGAATTTGCTCTAAATATGACCTGATTCGATGAGAAATGCTTCCTATTACGAATTTTTTTTATACTCAAGACTCGGACTCGAGATCTTTGATTATTGAAAGAGCAATCTCATCTGCTGCATTCATAGTTATAAAATATTGAGTTGATCTAATCCATTTTAATTTATGGTATGTTAGGCTAAGTGACATAAATAATTTTAAAACGACATATATTCTAAAAAAAAATTCCCAGATAATGCCTCGTCTATCTTTTTGTTTTTATCTTTAAAAGTTAGGTGTAGGTTTAACTGGGGAAATAACGAAAGGAACGAAAAAGCACATTATTTTTTTTAATAAAAGAAAGAAAGAGAGTGGATTAAAAAAGTAACTTTGTATAGAAAAATGTTTTTATATGTAAATGGAGTAAAGGGAGATAACTTGTAAAGGCAAGAGTAATTTAGATTGATAAATGAATAAAGATAATATAAATATGGATAGATAATTGTTCTAATTAAAATTTAAATTTGGACGAGTTGGGTGAATGATGTCATCTAAATTAATTAAATCATTTAAAAGGTTATGTCAACTTGGTGATATGTATTATTAGTCAAAATAAACTAAAATTAAAGTTAATTACTTAATTTTTTAAAAAGACGAACGAATTATTCAGGTGTAGGATACAATTTCAGTTATGATGCACAGTAACTGAATTACATTGAGCAACTCAATATTTGTCAATATAATTATTTATTGTCACTTATGAGAAAAAAATACTCCCTCTATTTCAATTTACGTGGCTTTTTTCGTTTTTCGAGAGTCAAACTATTTAAGTTTGATTGGAAATTTACGCATGGAATCTTTAATTTTTTTGAAATGAAATTTATATTTTTGTAAACTATGTAAAAAATATTATAAATCACAATAATTAACAATTCAAAATAAAGTAATTTGAATCTCAAAATCCGAAAGTATCACATCAATTAGGATGGAAGAAAGTAATTTATTTGGAGTATGACTAGTAGGATATGAAGGAAACAACAGACTCACATGGATCCCACGTTCTTATAGCAACACGTAAGTGTCATCTTTTCTTCTTACATGACGGAACAGTTCTTTGTCCTTTTCTATTTGGGTCGGTGATGAATAAATTGACGCGATCTATGTAGAAAAAGATGTCATTGTATATGATAATTATGGATGATATAGTATTAATTAATGTGATCTAGATGGAGTTAATGTTAGATTAGAGGCTTGGAGACAAACTATAAAGTTCGAAAGGTTTAAGATTAAACAGAAACCAAAAAAATAATATTTGAAGTGTGAATTTAGAGTTGTATTGAATGAAGCAGATATAGAAGTAAGATTTACCATACAAACTATTTCTAAGAGAGAAAATGTTAATAAGTATCTTGATTTTTAATTCGAAACATCGATGATGATGTTACACGTTGCATCAAAGTACTTCGTAAATTTAATTATTTAAAGCTAAATTC